CCTGCACCAGCCATAGCAATCAAAATGGAAATAGCCTGGCCCGCAGCAGTGTAGGCTCAGGCCCTGAGGCATGCAGACAAACTACACGCTTTGGACGGGAGCCAAGGCTAACTACCCCAGGAAGGGGCACCACATGGGCAAGATAGAAGGAAGCAGGTCGAATTATCATCAGAAAATGACAGCCCACCTTCCGATTTAGTGATGGACATCTAGTTCTCGGTGACGTCAAGTGAGAGAGTGATCATCCCAGAGGATGGAGCGCTTCTCTCACTCGAAGCTTGGATGGAGAGCACTGAGAATGGGAGGTCTGCAAGGCCGAGGGTGGTAGACTGACCCCCACTGTAACCCTCAGATCTGCCCGAGTGCCAACCACTGACAACAGGGGTGGTTCGCAACAGACATGCCATCGCAGTGATGGCATGCGCTGCCCACGAGCACCGAATTGACAAGCTCAACCCCAAGGCATGCAACACAGTGCTTGTGCCCATCATCAGTGGCCAGGGAACCACAGCATCCAGAAACACACACGTCTTTAAAAGGCACGCTGAACAACCATGTTGCTCTTTTAGGAAACCTGCTCAGTTACTCACCGCTCTAGGAAAACCGGACCAGAGAATGCACTGGGACAGATGAATGCCCAGCTCGAATGTCTGCCACTGCGTTGTAACACTCTGAGACTGAGAGAAAATAGCCTGTTGATCGCCGGCAACTTCTTTCTTTCTCTCACTCCTCGAAGGACGGAGATGGAAGAACCAAACACTCTTTCAGTACTGTGAGGCTCTGAAAGCGAAAAGATACTTGACGTCGCGTGGCTGGCATCTTTATTCACAGCTGATTGTGATTGATGCCAGCTGCGTACGCTGACATCGCCAGTTCATTGAAATTTCTTTGGCCCATTTTATTACTGTTTCAGATTATTGGCTCTCTGACCAAATCCCGCAGGTGGAAGTTTTTCCCCATATCATTGAAGTTCCCCTCCCACTGGGAAAATAAAACTGAAGTGACATAACCAAGAAAACAACTCAATTCAAGAAGAAACAAAAGATATTAACAAAAAGCATTTATGTAAATGTAAATTTACAAACCAGAAACAGTTCTTATATTTGTTCTTTCTGAAACGCAGCATTATTTTGAGACTATTGCTAACTTTGCTACAAAAAAGCATTAAAAACAACTGATTTTTGTAAACAGTTTAATTTCTTCCTTTAAAGAGAAATGTTTTAGTTATGTACTCCCTTTAAAAAAAACTGTTTTATTTTCCTTCTTTGTATTATACTATAACTGTATTTTTTACATTGTGAAAACACACACAAATAAACAATGTTATTTACTATAAATGTGCAAATAACATTTAAATAAATGCATTTCTTAAATATTTGTAAACGATATGGATTATTGGATTATCAGACAAAATTGTACAACTGAATCTGTCGGTTATAAGTTCCTACTACCCTCCACAGGTGAGGATAGACACGTCCTCTCAGGGACGTGCAGAATAAGCCACAATCTTTTTTGGTGTTTTCTCAAACAGCTTTATGGTCCAGACAGCACAGTTTGTTTTCATTTGCAATTGTTATGTGGCATCAGTTTGGTAAAAAAATAAATAAATGGAAAAAAAGAAAATGAATATATATGTTGTTAAACGTATCTGAATATGATATTTATGAAATGTATAATTGTAAAAGTAATTCATTATGCTTATGAAATGTAATTTCTAAAACCAATTCTAATTTGATAGGCAACAAATAAATACAAATATTTTTATTTTATACATTTAATATATTTGCCTTGTGCCTTGAAACAATCCGGTCTCAGAGGTCTACAGAGAATGTCTTTGTCTTCATGCTTGGTTTGAGCTTTGACATGCACTGTCAACCCTGGGGCCTTATATAGACAGGTGTATGCCTTTTCAAATCATGTCCAATCAACTGAACTTTCCATCTGGATTCACCAGTGAACTCAAATTAAGCTGCTGAAACGTCAAGAATGATCAGTGGAAACAGATTGTACCTGAGCTCAATTTAGAGCTTCACAGTAAAGGCTGTGAATACTGATGTACATGTGATTTTTCAGCTTTTTTATTTTTAATAAATTTGCAATCATTTTAAAAATATATTTTTTCATAATGTCATTATGTGGTATTGTGTGTAGAATTTTGAGGAAATAAATGAATTTAATTAATTTTGAAATAAGGCTGTAACATAAAAAATGTGGAAAAATTGAAGCGCTATGAATACTTTCCGGATACACTATATATAGTCAACTTCAGTGTTTTAGTTAAGAATACAAAAAGAATAGACTGAGGCAAACGGGCTAAAGGTTTATTACCAAAGTCATAAAATGGAATAAACAAATCATAATGGATAAAAAGAAAAATCCTTAATGTATGGTATGTGTGTGTAATGTTTATGTTTTAAAAAAGTTCAAAATGTACATACGGCACCATGGTTCAAATTAGGTATCTATGACAGAGCAACTATTGTTTTAGGAAACACTTATTACTATATCATTTATTTCCTAAAATTGAGTTGTACTATGATTTTGGCAACACACCCCAGAACAACTAGTTGTTAATGACCTATTTAAATTCATATCAGAGTGTTCTGGAAAACATGGTGATCTACACATTACCTACTCCAAAAGACAATTAATGACCATTGCTTTTATAATTGGACATGGCAAAGCTTTAAGATTGTGCTCTATATAACAGCCTTCCAAATAAAACTCAAATCCACTGCCCATAACTCATTTTGGGTTACTGTAAAACTACTTTAGTCAAAGGTAGAGAATGCCAAACATGCAAAGATGCCACAAACGTTGTTATGGTGTAAGTCAGAAGCGAGTCATGTTTCACACACAGAGAATGAGATGATCTTGAGAACTCACGTATTTAAATGCTGCTCTCACAACACAAGCTTTACAGTGTGTACGTGGCCACAGAGTTCACCTGTGCTTTACATAATTCAGCTAAAATACTCAACTAAAATATGAACTAATCAACGCTGAACTTGTCACTCATACATATTGTTCATAAATAATATGACCTCCATTTGCCTTCAAAACCTCAGAAAATAAAATCAAGACATATCAGTCACAACTTGCCCTAAAATCTAAGGCTAAAAATAAGATATTTTATATTAACTGAACAAATATATCTATTTTAAGACTTCTAATCTAATTTCCAATCTAATTTCTTCATGAAAAATGTTAATGTAAATTAAAACCTAGTCGTAACAGGTAAATAAAATTTAAATGATTAAAAATGTATAATTAAATAAATCACTGTATTGCAATAATGAGCAACTGGGGGAAAGTTGCTGATTAAGAAAATTCGATAATAATAAAAAACTGGATTAACTTAAATTATTATTATAATGAAAATAGATTAATTTACTGTTAATACTAAGGAGGCCATATGATGCTTTACAGTGTTTCTTTATTGTGTAACATCTGTTTGTACAAGTATAAGATGAAGAATAAAGCTCATAATCTTTCACAAAATAAATGATTTACATTTAACAGAATAAACTCCAATCATCTCTCTTTACACTTATCAAGTGATCAGACAAATCTGATTGGTTGTGAATTTGCAGCTCATGCTTTATGAAGCAGAACAGGCACTTTCAAATTATTTACTGTAGTGTTCATCATTAAATTGGATTAAATGTCCTTTATTTCCATTACGAAAACAAAATAACAGTGGGAAAGTGCCATGATGGGTGATGTAATCAATGAATGAATACCTTCAACATAGACTAATACATTAAGCCTTATTGAAGCGCTCCAGTATTGTCCAGCAGTGTTTCTCAAATGGCGGGTTTTGACCCAAAATTAGGTTGCAGAAGCGTGTTGAGAGGTGAAGATATGCATGACTTTTGAAAGACGTGTGTAAAAACTGTTCAATGTAATTCATGTGCATGGAATAACACATTCATCAAAAAGTCATTGATGGGTTATGTTCGCAAGGATATGGTTCATTTTAAATTAAAGTAATGAGAAATTTGAAAAAAGCCAAAAAGGCTTGTTCTGTTGAACACAAGACATTTTAAAGTATGTTGAAAACCTGTAACTTCCATGATAACACTGACTTTCATGGTATTTTTACCCAGCTATTTCATACGAAAACCTCAAACTGGTTTGGAACAAGTCAAGGACGAGTAAATGATGGCAGAATTGTCATTTTGTCCCTTTAAAGCATGTTAACTTTCTAAAAAACCTAATTAAAAGCCCTTTTTTATTTTAGCGCATCATATGGCCCATTTAATATAACAGTACTCTTAATTATGCCACTCATACTTATGGTATTACCATCAGTTCTGGTACACACGAAAATTATAATCAAAATAAAGTTGCCATTCAAATCTCTATGAACAAAAGTCAACCACACCAGCCAGTCACACCATCAGACATGTATATGGTAGTAATATACAGTTGAAGGCAAAATTATTAGCCTTCCTGTAAAATTTTTATTCTTGTTCAAATACTTTCCAAGGGCTGTTTAGCGGAGAAACCATTTTTAAACCCAATAGATTTAATATGTTTTTTAGAAAATATATTATATTTCAAAAAAATAATCATTCTTGAGAGGGCTAATCATTATGATCTTAAAAATTGTTTAAAAAATGTTATCCAACCAAACTAAAACAAACAAGAGGCTTTTTTTTAGAAGAAAACATATTACTACAATTTTCTCAGTAGGGTTAATAATTCCTACATGTATGTTCTGGTAAAACTAATATGCAAAAGGCTTGACCTCGGAATGACCAAGAGGATTAAATGGTAATCTCTTCTGTGCAGTGTAGTGACACACCTGCATCTGAGAGGCTAAAAACTAAGTGACAATATGTCACATTATTCACATGACATTATTATTGAGGCATCTGTGGGATTATGTGACTTGCATTACCCACACATGACCAGACATGTTTGAAATGACTCACTGGGTCAATAAAGGGCAGAGCACGATAAAAGTGACATTTCTCGCAGACAGACGGTTTCACCTTTTTCTTTTTTTATCAGGGTCATTGATCCTGGGTTTCGTCTGCTTCTGGGTCTTCTGCGAGGGGTTGGACATCTTCTCATCTCGAAGCCGCTTGCGAGCTCTAAAGAGAAAGCAGTAAATATAACATGTAAATGTTTTTAGTTTAACAAGGTGTCCCATCATAAGTATTATGCAAGTCTCAATTGACCATTTGCAGGCAGTTTGATTGACAGGAAATCTAGCCATTTACACAGATGTTCTGTGCTCCCACAACTGTGTGCCACTTTCTCCCACAAACAAAACAGTCCGAATAAGCAGGCATAGTGGAGTAACACTGCCGATTACATAAAAATTTGTGAAAATGTGCTCATATAGGACTTAAACAAGCGACAGCAGGTAGTCAGAAAGGCTGGGTTTTATCTTTTCCTGAAAACTAGAGAAGTGGATACACTTGTGTGGATGCCAGCCTCACCATCAGTTGTCAATCAACAGTGCTGAAACTTGCTGAATGGTTTAATCGAAACGCGTGGACGCAAGATTGATGAACTCATTTTGTCTGTTACTACATGGGGGCAACCCGCAAAATTTTAGTTTATGGAGATGTGACTTTACAATAAAGAATGAACAATGAACAACCTACGGAGGTCGAATTGAATTGACATTGAAGTAGAAATTTGCTTAAAATGACAACTCCTAGATGGTCCTAAAATGTATATATTTTCTTGAAAATGGTTTATTTATTGCGATCATATATGACCTTTTACAAAAGTTTCTTTTTTGTATGAGCCATTGTATCCTTTTTTTTTTTTAAAGATTTATTTTTTGTCTTTTTGCCTTTATTATTAGATAGGACAGTATTGAGACAGGAAGCGAAATGGGAGAGAGAGAGAGAGAAAGGGGGTAGGGTAGGGAAATGTGGTCAAGCCAGGATTCGAACTCGCGACGCCCTGACGTGCTATTGCACCATATGTCGGCACGCTAACCACTAGGCTATTGCGCCGATGAGCCATTGCATCCTTAAAACAATTATATCCTAAACCCGATCTAATATTGACAAACTTTTATATATTGTTGGAAAGCTCCAAGTGTGTACTTTGTATATTTGTTTAGTTTTTCAGGACAGTTTTTGCAATGACACTTACGTCTTATTAACACGGGGCATCAGTGTCAACGCTTCCCATTTACTTTGAATGGGTGACGTCAAGTGTTGTTGAACTAAATCGTGGATGCGTTGGCGTGCAGAAGTTGGAAATTTCTCAACTTTTCAAGTGCCAGCGGAAGGGTCAGCCAATCAGATTACTTTATCCAAATACCCCAGCTCAGACAGTAGCCATTTATGGACTCAGAAGATGACAGGCGGGTTGAGCTAACTTAAAACGAATAGCCTGAAGACACATAAACGATGAATTAAACTTTACTCACTCTAATAATTTTATAGATGCATTATTGTCTTGTTCGAGATGCCACTGTTTGCATGTGTTTGTGAATTATGTCTCAGAGAATCCATTTGTAACATTTTAATTAATCCGAACTTCCCATCATTATACCCATAGGCTATAGCTTCTATATTTATTTTGTTTTCATTTACATGCACATCCTGAATATTTCCCTCATATGCATATCGCAGATCTTTGTCTGCTTTTTGAGTATGTCAATTGTACAGAGATTAACACAATGATGCCAAACTGCAGCATATTTAGACCATCAAAAAATATCAGATGTATGACAGCATTTTAAAACCGCCAGCGCTACGTAGTGCCATAACAATAATGAAAAAGTAAAACAAAGCAAGTAAAAGAAAATCATGTAACTTCTGGCTACACGTGGTTAAAAAAGTTGTGAAGAGATTACAAGCAAACACTGTGAATAATGTTTAAATCTATTCATTATAACTCAAAACTGTACCGCCTATTTTTAAGTTCATCCCTGTAAAGATAATGTTAAAGTTCAATTTAATATAATTCTAGAACGATTTTAAATATAATCCTTAGGCTGGTCACTTGTTATAGACATTAATTTCAACTATATTTGGATTATTCACATCCAAACTGTAATGTTTCAGGGATTGACAGGGCTTTTCATAACAAAGGCCACAACTTAAGGCCAATTTTCTTGTAAAAAAATTAATAAATCATGCCCAATTCACACAGGGCTTCAGTGTCAGCGGTTGACGGAGGGCTCGCTGAAGTTGAGGTTGACGCAATGGTCATGGCAGAGTTAGCCAATAAAGTAAGCCTGTAATCGGCTGCTGTCTGAGCTGAGGTATTTGCATAAAGTAAACTGATTGGCTGACGCTTCCGTTGGCGCTTGAAAAGTTTCAACTTTGAGCACTGACGGACCCACAATTCAGTTCAGCAACGTTTGGCGTTACCCATTCAAAATGAATGTAAAGCGTTGACGCTGATGTCCCGTGTTAAAATTTCCTGCAAAATTGAGCAAATATACAGAAGTATGAGAGCACTTAGAGCTTTCCAAGGATATATAAAAGTTTGTCAATATTAGATCAGGTAAAGTATTGGATATAATTGTTTTAAGGATGCAATAGCACATAAAAAAATATTTTTGTCATATATGATTGCAAAAAATAAATAAATAATAAATACATAAACCATTTTCAAGAAAATGCATTAATTATAGGACCACCTAGGTGTTGTCATTTTAAGCAAATTTTTGCTTCAATTTCAATTTAATTTAAACTCCATCAAAGTCTCAATAACTTAATTCCTCCAAGACAGGTATTACACTTCACATTTCTACATTATTATAGTAATTATTTTTCATCAATAAAGCACATTTCTCCCTAAACTCAGAATAACACAATGTTGGAGACATACTCATGACATAAACGCACTAAATCCCACTTCAGCAGTGTTTATTTGAGAGCGCTCAAGAAGATCTGCGTTTAAGCAGCGTTAATTTGAGGGGGTGTGCAAGAGGTTTTGTGCACGAGCAGAGAAAATCAGTGCACATGCAAAAAGATTTGCATGCTCGTATTGCATAAATGCGATCTCGACTTGTAATACTGCGCTCCTGACATTTCTCAATTTGTCATTCGAATAACGCCATAGGTAGACTTGTGAAAAATGCCTGCCGCCACAGCTGAAAAAATTCCTAGAGGAAACACTGAACACACACAGAAGATTCGAGAATTTCAGAATTCATTTGGCAAATTTGGCATTTGAATTCATGCTTGATGAATGCTGATTCCTTATCAGCCACATTCAAGTTTTGGAACAAGTCTAAGAAACATAAAAAGTCTTTTTTTACATACTGTGTTCCAGCATCCCTGTCTGGTTCTTTATTGGGGGCCTCTGGCCCTGTTTTCTTTCCCGTCTTTGAGTCGATCCCATCCTCCAGATGAGCTGGTTTGCTGCCATTGTAGCGTTCTGTGCATTTAGGGGGCTGCGGTGGAGGGGGAGACTCAGACAGGGGCTCTTGGTCCTCTCTGGAAAGCTCTCGCCATTGTTTCTGCACACGGACATAAAAAACCAAATCAGTTTTTTTCACAAACACAGGATACAGGATTGGGTTAATGGTGACTCAGTTGAAAATACTGTCTAGATCACATGCCTGCACAGACGAGTCTCCCATAATGTACTTGGCACCCTCCAGCACAGCCATATATGAAAAACGCAGCTGATCAGGGGTCTGAATCAAACCCATCCGGTACTTTCTCATGTCTAGAAGAATCTTTTTGATGTCCACCAATAATGGGTCTTTTCTTTTGTCCATCTGTGATATATCAGTGTCGGAAGAAAAGAAAAAACAGTAGTAAATAAGCTTTAATGAAGGACAAACAGGAAGAAGGGAGAACGAGATATTATACTTGCTGCGTCCCAAATGGCACACTACACACTCATACATTTACACATTGAACAGCATAGTATATAAATGTAATGTCGTGCCAAATGGATTACTAACGTTTTTTTAGGAAGCGGAAATTCAAACTGTTTCCTTGATGACGTTTGACGGCTGCCAAGTTAGTGAAATAAATGACCAAACTACCAAATAATACCTGCCATTAGTATAATCACAATTACACAGGAAAATTTTGCTTTCTCAAACCAAAATGAATAAAGTAATCAATATTAGTGCCGAAAGCTCCACCCTTTCTGCTATACGCAAGCAAAGCAGCGACTGTTGAGTGTGAAGTGTCCAACATTCCACACTTCTTTTAAATAAGTGATTCATCCGGGCATTTAAAGTGCACTTAATTTTTTTTAGAATTTCAGTGTGCACTACTTACACTATTTACTGTAACTATACTATAAAATGGCATAGGATAGTGCATAAGTTTGCAATTTGAGATGAACTTGCTCTTTTTAAAAATGCGATACTTGAAGTATTCCTCTTGATGTGGTAAATATGCATTTGAGGTTTGTAAAGTTAGTAATTTAGAGCTGCACAATTCTAAATGAATTAACAATGATTTGTTTGAAATATTGATCAACATTCGCTCTCATTTCTGAATAGACTACTTACAAACATATTGAGTCAAATTTACTGAAGGTTCTAATTGGGCATGTACCAAACTGAGAACTCTGGGCTGAAACCAAAACCAAAAATTATTTATGCCCCTGGATGAAAAACCGAAAGCGAAAATGATGTTATAATTACTACTTTATTAAATAGTATACAGTAATTTAGTAAAACTTTAAAAAAATAACAAAAAAACTTAAATCATATGATAAAAAAACAAGAAAAACATTTGTATATTTTACTTCATTACAAAAGTAGACAGATAATTAAGTGGCCAGAATTATTACAACTCTTGGCATATTTTAAATGTTTTAGTTGTTTTGAATTGGCCTTTACAATACAATTAAAAAAAATACCTACAAAATCCTCATTATGCTCTGTAAACCACAGAGTAGAGACATCAAAAGGAGATTTACATAACTTTCCTAATTAAAAAGAAGCTAGGTCTATTTCACTTTCAATGTCACACAATCATGTTCTTTCAGAGAAGAAGTCAAATTACTTGTGTGAGACATAACCAGTTGAATACTCATCAATTCAGGCACGTTGACATTTAGTGGACATAATTGAGTTTTACAGTTCACAAGTAAGACTTAATTTGAGTGTGATAACTTTCATTCACCCGTACAGATGTGGGCACTTCTCAAATCTCCTGCACAAATGTTTAAATAACAAAACAAAAACAATAAACGACCTAAGTTCATGACTTAAATAGACTTCGGGTTGGTGTTCATGCTGGTCTGTTCAGCTCTTAACAAAGTGTGCAGTTGGATGGGTAAAATGCAGGAAACAAATTCCAGTTGCTTATGTCACTTTGACATAACAGCGTCCCTAACTTTAATGTAAAGAGTAATTAAAGCAATGGAAATAAAGAAAAATGCAATTTCTAAATTAAAACACAATGCTGAAAAAATGCAGTGTACATATGGTATTGAACCATGGAGGTTGTATTGAATGGTTGCATTTAAAAAAGATATATAATTTATTTATTTTGTATTGCAGCATCCCCATTTTTTGATGTGGTAAATCAGGCATGGCCCAAATGTTTCATCTCGCAGGTCAGATGTGACTACCTTTTGAGGAACCCTGTTATAAACAATCATCTCAACACTTGTGTAATAATTGATTGGCTTGTAACACAGAAATAACAACACAACTGCTTTACCTCTCTCCCTCTCGTCAACTGCACGCTGCAACTCTGTGCACAGCTAGTGTTTTTCAGCTAATAATAAACTTCAGGTGAAAGGCAAGCTTAATGTTTCTGTTTTCAATTTCATGATGTTCCTTTTACAGCATTGATGTTGCAACATAACTACAATACATTCAGTTAAACAGCATTTATTTAGTTGCTCAAGTGTAAAACTATATAAAAGCGCCGTCAGGATCAGCAGACGAGTGCGGAAACTTCATTGAAAATACTGGGGTAATATAAATTGTAATATTTTAAAGACAAGGCGGGGAAAAATAGAATTTAATGCACTGCTTCTTTTGGTGAGAAATTAAAATTGGTGAGAAATTAAAAATAAAATAAATAAAAAAAACACACAGGATATCCTAGTTTTAGAGATTCAACTCACCAAGACAAGACAAGTGTCAACCAGAGAGAATGTTCCAGATCTCCCAATTCCGGCACTGCAGTGGACAACTGCTGGACCCTGTTCCATCCCGAGTGAACCAGACTCTCGCACCTTAAACAGGAAATTAAGGAAGCTGGCTGGGGATTCTGGGACGCCAAAGTCAGGCCATGTGGTATAGTGAAAGTGATAGATCTCTCTCGTCTCCCCCGTCTATGTAGATTAAAAAAAATAATAATAATAATAATAATGAAAAAATACAAGCATTAAAAAAAAATCTATTGTCAACATTGTGATTTTCAATAGTCAAAATGAGGGACTTACATTTGCGTTCTGGAGTTCCAGCACTCTGGTGGTATAATATGACTTCACGTCTTCTGACACTAGTGTTACCACAAAACGCGTGTCACGAAAAGACATCTCTCTCTCTTCTTGTGTCGGCCAATATTGTGCACACTTTTCCTTCATAACAAAATTTAGAAAGAGATTAATAACACTGCCTCAAATGTTTAATCATTTGAAATATGATGACTAATATTCCAAAGTAAATTATTACATGCAATTAAATAAGTAAAGCAAGCAAAACACTTGGATTAACGCTGAATGAAAGATGTGTGTTAGTTATAGCTTTCTTTAAACAACTTTTTGTTCTTAAAGCCTAATATAGACTTGCTGTTTACAGTAAATACCTCTATATATAAAGAAAATATATTGCTTTCTGAGATACTGAACAAAATGCTCAGTTTAATGTAGGGCCTGATGAAATGTAATTTTTCTAAAATAGTTTTAGAATAGTTCACTCAAAAATGAAAACTGCCTCACTATTCACTCCCTTTTTATAAAGGTTTTAAACCTTTATGTGTTTCTTTGTTCTGTTGAAAATTGAAAATCGTGGATAACCATAATAGGAAAAACAAATACCATGGAAGTCAATGGTTACCGGTTTCCAATGTACTTCAGAATAACTTCTTTTGTGTTCAACAAAACAAAGAAACTCAGAAAGGTTTGGAACAAGTAAAGAGAAAGTAAATACTGACAATTTTCATTTTTGGGTGAACAGTCACATTAAACAGTACTTTTGTGGCTTAATATTAAGACAATAGTCTCAAATGTTTCAATATCATACTTAAATACAGTTCTTGCATAATTTATTTTAATTTGCTTTTACCTGAATATATATATATATATATATATATATATATATATATATATATATATATATATATATATATATATATATATATATATATAATTTTTTTTTTTTTTTTTTTAAACAGCATTGTTGTGTGCTTTTGTATAAAAAATAGATTTTCAATTTTACTTATTTTATTTCAGTTAGTTTTCTATAATTTTTATTTATTTATTTATTTGACATGGACATCACAATTACACTGGACAACCAAATGCATTTGTTTAAGTGTTTTAGCAAACTTGCTAATTCTCAACACCTGTCCACAGGAGGCTTGACAAAATGGAAATATAATAAATAAATATACACAACATTATAATTCTTCACATTAAATTACTGAAGGCAAAGCAAAGACGACATGATCCAACAAACTAACAGTAGACTATTTGTGCAAACACTGCTGTTTTGTTTTTAACCACTTTTTAAAAACACCATTAAAAATATTTATATTACTTTCTGATTTTCTGATAAATGCTATAGTTTCAGCCAACAATAACACTACATGTTCTAGACCTCTATTATTCCTTCATGTGGTTCTACTTGAAACATACTCCCATATACCTGCAGAGACTCTATGGAGCTCTGTAATACATACTTAGAGAAAGACTTTGTGTTTGTTTTAAAAGCATGGAGGCTAAACAATCTTAGAGTAGTGCTTTTAAATAGAAAAGGATCTATTCTTACCGAGCCTTTCTCTATTACTCTATTAAGCATGATGACTGCTTTGGTCTTCTGTTCCCAGATCATCAGCCAAAAGTGACCACAGGTGTTTCTCAGAGGACCCTGACAATAAAGAAACACAGTCCAGTTTGACAATAAGTAGGGTTTGATCGCAATGCTCAAAAGAATCTGACTTATGTAACAGCTCCCAAGAAATGTGAACCCAAAACCAGCCTAATTCTTCAGGCAGATTAGTTTACCGTTCACAGAGTGAACCCTAGTTGATTTCATAAACATGTAGTCTTACACTTCTCTACAAATGCTATGCAAAATCAACACCACAAAGTCTGACACACCTACACATTTGTTAAAAATAAAGATCAAACCAAAGCCATGTTTCATATGGCTGACTAATGTATTTGTGAGCTTCTGTATGCTACCCACACAACTTTGTATCAGAGGTGTAAACCTGCCACCTGCCTACAGCGTTCTATAGTAACATCAGCATAAAATAACTGTCAGTGCTGAAATTAAGGAAAGCAAAGGTTGTGGAACAGAAGGGTTACAATAAGGTTTTATTAAGATTAATATTAAGGTTTGCAAAATCGTTTGCGTGTGTCTGAGCACAGCTTTCCCTGTAGGTTAGTCTACTGAAAATATCTTTACAAGAAAAGTGCCTGCTTGAGGCAAATTAGTCGCAACATCAAAACAAAACCTTTCTAACACTAAAAACAAGTCCTATGACTGTTTTCTTTCTTGACTCTTCATATTTGTATTCATACAGCTAGCATTAGCATTAGTGTAAAGGTGTTAGTCAAACATTCATATGATTTCTGCATGCAAAACAGCATGAAATATCTCAAATTATTTCTCAAGTTTTGGCAGAGCATTTAAAAGAACATGTAAGATTTAACTGAAGTGAACTGCAGAAGTAAAAGTAATACCACAGTGAACAAACCCATACAGTGACAATAGTTTCCTTAATAATAATAATTGAACAGGCATTGGCAAACTTAAAAAAATATATAATTTAGGATTAAATATTCAATACATATTTTATTCAATATGTGGATATAATAAAATCAGTTTATATAGTACAATACACACAAATTAGTGATTAGATTAGATTCTTCCGCAATAATCATAACAGATATAGGCAAAGGCAATAAACTGTGTGGATACTAGTAAAATCTTTACAACATTCTATTTAGAAATAATCTAATCTTATAATAAATCTACTTAGGAATTAAATGTAAATAAATAAACTGCTTGCCCTACAAACCAGTCTGTTTATGACTATACATTAAAAAGAAAATACGATAGGAAAATACCAGAATAATAAAGAGCTGTTTGATATGATCAAATTCAATGGAAGTGAATGAGACCAGAAGTCTCACATAGGGATGCAGAATTATTATTATTTTTGGCTGAAAGAGAAAAACTGCCAAAAATATGAGCCGAAAAACTGTGCAGTGATCAGGGCACTGATTTTACTCTCCCCCCAGCTGTAGTCACTGCGCATTTTGAAGCAAGTTAAATCACACCACATGTAAAAAGCACTCAGAAACCTATTCATTTCAATGGCTTGCTCTACACAAGAGTGATTCAGAGTGAACCACCAATTAGCTTGTACAAGTGCAGTCAAGTTTAAGATTAAGTTAAGTTTAATATTGTGCACTGTATAATCCGCTCATGTACATGTATATCTCTCATCAGGATGAATCTCTCATGACAGGACATTTCTATGATATATACATGTTCCTGCTGTTTGCAGTACGCTACTGTGCTGTCAAAGCAATGCTGGTAAAATGATGATTCTCCACTGTCAACAAAATTTAATTATTTTATTGGCTTATGTGTTTTTTTTTAAATTAGTATAATTTAAATAGTTCTAAATTTAAATAGTCTTACAAAATTAGTTTGTTATATAATAAAATAATATGTAATTGTTACAAAACATTTTCAGTATCGGTTTTCAGCCAAAGTGAATCCAGAATTTTTGATTTTAGACCAGAATTTTATTTTGGTCAATCCCTAGTCTAGACACAAATAAATTACAATGCCAGGAAATTTCTAAAATGAGGTCAGTATATAGCTAGTGCTAAATAAAATCCTTTCCTGTGAGGTACAAGCACATGTGTTGCAAAAAAAGCTAGATGTGGATTATATAGTAAGCAATTATACGCTGTAAAACCCAAAAAGGTAAAGTAACTCCTACCACTTTAGGAAACCGACTGCAACAATCCATTTATTGAGTACTGTTAACTTAATACATTTGAGTAAAAGAAGCAATTTAAGCAAATTAAAACCCAATAAATGAAGAGAACTCAAACCAACTAAGTACTGTAAAAGCCAATAAGTTAACTCAAACCATTTGAGGAAACTGATTGCAACAAATCATTTAAGTTCAAAAACTAATCTATATGAGTACTGTGAACTTACCCCATTTATGTGGAAATAATAAGGTATTTTATTAACTCATCATTACCTCAAACATGGAGTTCAAAACTTTTTTCAAATGAGTAGAATTAACTTTCAGTAAATTGAGTTAACTACACTCATTTCAATTGATAAAGTTGACTGTTGGGTTTTACAGTGTACCAAAAAATGTGCATTAACTTTGAAGTGCAATCAGCTCGTTTACTACTTTTAGCAGCCTATTAGAAGCTATATAAGTTATTATTCTACAATACTGGGGTCCAGACTAACATTCCATACCAACTTAAGTTTTACACGTTGACATATAAAATATGAAATTGTAATGTGTAGATCACCATGCACAGATATAACAAGTTCACTAGCATAACTTTACACAAATTTATTTTGAAAACCAACAACTAATATGACTTCTTCTTAACAAAAATAAAGTATAATAAACACTTAATTTGTCTTTCAGCTAGTTTCATTTGTGGTTTGTATTGAAGAGCTCATTAATAAACACAAATAGCGTATATTTAGCTGTAACGCTCTCATTAGTTGGTTGCCAAGTCCTTACACATACAATTATAGGCTGAAAATGAGCTGTATGAATAAGTTTGAAAAGTTATTTTTCAGAGCCTCAAATAACTAATGCAATACAAATAAAAAATGGTCAAAACATGGCCTTATTTTTTTATATGAAACAGTGTTGTGTAATCGTATACACACACATAGTGTCCTTGTCCTGGGTGGTGTTCACTCACCTGGGTAAGTATGTACCTCCTCTGGGCTTCTTCCATTACCACCAGGCTGGCATTGATGTAGTCATTTTCTGTATTTTCCAATTTCACTCGACTGTGATCAACTGATTATTTGAGGAAATAACGTTAAACAATGTTAAATGAAACAAAACATTCATTAAATAACAAAATATAAACTCAAATCTGAGGCTACTTACATGGACTCACGTCTCTGTATCGGTTTCGAATGCGATTCTCTGGATACTTGGCCACTTTGAATGCACATTCATGCGACTGGTTGCGTATCTCCTGGGAAAGAAATGCACGCAGAGCTTCAAAACAAGCTTAATCAGGCCATTACTGATTCATTAGGTTGCGTTTAAATTAATTGTCCAAGTCAGCAAACAGCGGACAGGAAAAATAATAAAACAAATTAGCTCACGTCAATCAGGACTGAACAGCTCCCAGAAATAGTTACATAATATTACTGGAAATATTAATCAGGGAAGCTACACTGTTGTTTGTTTAGTCACATACACACTCTCACTCAGCACAACACAACACAACTATATGAGGCCTATGTTTGTTTATCTAGCACTTTAAGACTATATAAGGTTTTAGCCTTGTTCTATGAATAAAATACTGATTTTTAAGTAAACAACTTCATTAATATGTCAGTAGAGTTGCCTGTAATGCTTATAAATTTAGTCACTGATCACACGAAAACGTAACAGTTGCTGGTTACAGTAAATAAACGTGTATATGTCAGAAATAGCTAACAGCTGTTACTCGTATAACGGATGAATAAACGATGTGTTGCATTGTTGTCATATGATGTCTGTTACTCAAAACCATAGAGGTAAAGTTGGTTTTATATTCGAATATTCAAACATTCTTCTTAATAATATATTTTAAGAAAAATATTCTTTGCAAAATCTTAATAGGGAAATCATAATAGCAGCCAATGATTATCAAAGTACAACATTGTTCACAGTGAATTAGAAAGTATTAATGTTGTTTAGAAGTCATACTTGCATGCTAATTCCGATCAAATATACAAAGTAACATGGTAAACAATATAGAGACTGCTCAATGAAAGAATGTGCGAATATAAAACCAACTTTACCTTTATCTCAAACCCCAGTGCTTTCCCTATCAAGACAGCACTTTTGGTATCGAAGTCGCTTTAAAATATTCCATTCTGTAACTGTTTACTGGTTATTTCGATTTCAATTTGATGCCCAATCGTAAATATTCAACTGTTCTTTACGGTTTTTATAACAAAAAGAGTATAATGCTTAAAAAGTCTTAGCTAAGCAGACTCAGTGACCAAACATGCTGTCTAGACAGACAGTTCATTAGGTTTTGATGTACAGTTTTTACAGTTTACCAATCAATCAGCGTAACATCTCGGTCTCATAGCTTTACTTTCGTTTTAACACATTACAAGAACTGTCAAAAGTAGAAGGATGACAGCACACTGAATTATTGTTTCGAAATAGACATTACGATAAAAAGACATATATCTAACGGTTAACTGCAGATTGCGTGGCTCATTAGCATGCTAGCTGTCTTAGCTGTACTTACTAAGTAAATGTTCTGCCAGCGGCCTTCTGAATCTATGTCCTCAAACTCCTGCTCCATCTCTCCGTCAATTCCTTCCGCTTTGAGCTTGTTTCTTAATAAAAATAAACGTCACAGCTGAAGAGATCAGTCATTTCTCTTTCTCACACTGAACCGCTGAGATAGTCTGACAGTGTTTGTCCGTGTAGCTGACATTTGCGACGGGAAGCTGACTCAACTGCGCGTGCGCGTCGAGAACAGCGGCTCTTGTCTGCTCATGCGTGAAAGAGAGCTTCCAGAGCAGGACAAACGTGTCAAACATCTGTAAACTACGTTGCCATAATGCTTTTTAGAGGTTATGATAAAGTATTAAGTGTTCCATCTGTGCCATTACACCCCTTGGAAACTTAAGTGGAAAAAATATGCTTTTTGTCACTACCCTCCTCACGTAATTTTTAAAATCAGGTCTCTCTTTCAAAAGAAAAGTGCAACCCCATATGTGAAGTTTTTGTGGGTGGAAAATATAAACAAATCCAATGGAAAAAGTTTGGTCTTTGTCTGTAAAATATACAATAACTAACAAAATTAGAAAAAAATAATTTAAACTGTTACACATTTTACCCAGCCATTTTAGAAAATAAAATTAAGTCGGATAGATGCTGCTCTTTCTCTTATATACCCAATAAAATTGCTGATGATATTTTTTGGAATTGCCTTCATACGCAATGCTTTTTGATTGAACTTTCTTTGGTTATTCATTGCAAAACTCTACCGGAATTCTTGTTATCTTTTAGTGATATCCTGTTGGGTTTTTTCAATAGTCCTGATGATAAAATTAAGGAATATTTCATTTTTAACCTCCTTTTAATTCTTGTAAAATTTCATGTACACCGCTGTAAATTCTCTCAACATACACCTTATTTTATTGTTTTTGAAAAGGAACTTCAACAGTACATTAGAGCTATTGCATCCTCTAAATTTAATTTTAAATTTAATTTTAAAACTATTATTAGAACTGTTAACTTATTTTCCTTGTTTAATTTTTTAACGCATGATTTTATATTAAATGTTGTTTGTTTTTTAGTTTATTTATTTAGTAGTTTATTTGATGCGTTACCTATCGTTAAAACTCCTGTACATTCGATGTTACAATTTTTTATAATGCTGTTATTGTTACCCTGACATTAACAACAATAAAAAAAACAATTGTTAAAAATGTTTGCATATTATATTCTTGTATTCAACCCCTTGCTATTTTTACATTTTGAGTGATTCAATAAAAAATTGGGTAAACAAATTAGTCATTTCTTATTACATGATTATTATATTATTATTAATTATGCGATGTGTTTGATACAAGACTGAAATAACATGTAATGTAGAACTGGCCCCTGCTGTTTTCATGTGTTTATTTTCATTCGTTTATGTGTTAAAACTTGCACATTTGATTTGACATTTACCACATATTTAGTTGATGTTTGAATGTATGCTGCTAGTTAAATTTTTATTCAATTTAGTTCAGTTTGAGTAGTTGGGAAGTTTATTAAATAATTACTTCAATAATATGTATAAAAACACTATACTTTTTAAAAATGTCATAACACTCATGAAAGTATACCACGATTTCAGACTTGGGTCGGTCTAATTTTAATGAATATCATTTACAAATCGGGTGGTTCAAAACAAGCACCGTCATTCTGTCTGATGCTCAGACACTTAGCATGGTTAATAAATGCTTTCAAAATTATTTCCTTTCTGATGCAGTAAAAATGACATTCTGTCCGAAAATAAAATTCACAATTTTAAAGAAATACTGAATTTTTTAAATACAATACACACATTCTTGCCAGGGACACTGATGCATTGAGTATTTGAATGTTTTTGTGCTTGAGTCCCTTGATTGCCCTCATTGTGAAAAGGAATATAAAAGAGAAAACCGAAGAATCGGCAGAATATGGAAAATTAAAAATCTGAGAAATAACTATTTTCAATTTTTGTCTTGTGAACTATATGTAAACATCATTTTATGCCAAATAGATTAATGCTAAATAAAAACTAACAAGGATTTGTGAAAATGACTTGCATTTTCTGCAAGGTCTTTACATACTGTAAAGCTTGGTGAAGCTTTGCTCCATTTTTGTGCCCTTTTCATAATTGAACACAATGAACAATCTTTATTCATTCACAGGTCAGTTACTGTATGAAGGTCAACTGAATAATTAAGGATTGCTTCTGTTTGTGATTAATGGGATGCTGAAGTCCTCATTTTTGTCAACATATCAAAGAGTAAGACAGAAGAAAGCATTCAAATAAGTTATTTTGAAAAAAGCTTTAAAACAAAATGTTGCCATTGACTTCCCTAGCAGGAAAAACAAATACCATGGAAGTCGTTACAGGTTTTTAACATTTTTCTAACTAAATTCTATTGTGGTTAACAGAACAAACACAAAAATAAAGATTTAAAAAAGAAAAAGGTGAGTAAATGATGACATACATTTCTGGGTTAACTATATATAACCAGAAATGACTAATTGAATCTCTTTATTTTTCCAGTAACTTACACAAGTATTTTTCTACATTCATATTCTGCTGTGGGGATTAGGTGGATACATATCAATGTGAAAACAAACGATTTTCAGTGTATCTAAAGTTAAATTGTATTTCCCTCAAAATATTCGTATACAACATAAGGTTATACATAATAATAATTTTAACGCATAGAATATTGAGCATTGAAATGGCCAAACCCAAAATCCAGTTAGTGATCAGCCCTATTGTCTGTGTATGTTAATTTCTTTGCTAATAATTGAAGAGTTTAGATGCAAAAACGTTACGTGCCATCTGAAATTTTCTTCTAAAATTTTTTCTCAGGCTCATCGTGTGTGTAGGTTCAGTTTTGTCACTTTTGGTGATGAGTATGTTCTTTTCATTGCCATCGAAGGTAAATATTTAAACATAATATTAGGAGGCTAAGAAAAGTTACAATTTTAAAGAAAATTTGAAACTGCACTTTTGGATCTGAGCTCTTCAATTGTTTTTGTTTCCTTATACCTGTCACTATTGACTTATAAGGAAGTGCTACCTTCACCCCATTATTTTACAAAGAAGGAAGAATGAAGTTACATAATGCACATCCATCTGCACAGCAATTCAGGAACATGGGCTTGTTTTCTATTCAGCCGGTATTCAAATGTTACACATCTCTCAAAGAAACCCCTTTTCAATAATGCATGAAAGATGCCAATTTCCTGTGCTTCACCTCAAGGAAAAGTCAAACAACACACTTCGTAGGTAAGATAAATCAAACTCTTATCCATTGTCACTATTTTTTGTAGCCTCAAGCCCTTTTTGTGTGAAAATCTAGTGACATGTAAGTTGGTCTTTGCATTTTGACTTGCTTCCAAACAAACTCTGGTCAACTGAATGTAACATTTACAAAAGAAACATTTCAATAAACCAAAAAAACAGGATGTGATATTGAGAGATGTGACTCTAAAAAGAAAAGAATGTTCAATCACGTCTAGTTCTATGCTGTCCATGGTGTAAACTTAGTTTATAGAAAACTTGGTGATATCTTTACAAGATAACATTGTCTGTTATTTAGAAAGTTTCACAAGTGGAGCATGGCTGCTATATTAAGTCAATGAGGAAATGGGTGTCATAAACAAATAAGACAGTCTGAGTGACCAGTTAAAAACACGACTGAGGGCTTTTGGTGAGTTTTGATGTTCATTAGAGTTTATTAGTTTGAATAGGGAGTCTGAAGAGAGGACGGTGTCAGAGTAACAATATTCCTACTACATAAACTACAGTGTGTCCAGGACCAAAGCATCATGACCATCCCAATCCATGCAGAGCTGGGAAGTTGGGATGCTGCTTTAAAGCTGCTGAAAATGTTGACAAGCCATCCAAAAACTCTCTTTTGATAAGTACACTTCCTAATGAAATGAACCAATGACCACACTGATATTGATAATTGAGAGTCTCCTAAACTGTAGGTCAGTGAGCTGGGGACTTTATCTTTTGGCTGATAAGTCCATAGTGGATAGTCAGACCTTCTAGTTTTTGTTCACTGCTTCTCCTTTGTTGTCACACTGCCATTTACAAATGAGTGGAACCCAGAAACCACAAGGAAAGATGCTTTTTTTATTTCCTGTGAGGTTGTAGTTTGAGAAGACATGTTTGAAAAATGTCTCCATTGTGATTGGTAAGCTCTCCAGTAGGACCAGGCTGCTGACTTTGGAAAACCTACATCTATGAGGATCCCTCTGAGCCTGAGAAGTCAGTAATGAAGTTGACTCTTCGATTTGATCTTGACCTTTAGTTAATAAGTGGTTTCGAAAAACTTTAAATTGGTCCTCTGCTTTTAACCCATCCAAGAGCACATACACATTTTGAGTAAGGAGTGAGAGCACACACAAACACACACTGAGCATACACCCAAAGCATTGGCCTGCTATTTTGTAAACAGCAACCTTTGGGTTAGCACTAGCAGCAGGGGTGGACTTAACAAATAAGCAAGGTAAGCAGCCACCTAGGGCCCCAGGGAAATAGGGGGCCCTGACCAATGCCAAGAAGCCTATATTAATCATCCTATATGTCTTTTATATTTTTTTGTCTATCATATGTTGTAAAATCTGTCTATGACCATGAAGATTTTAAAATTACTACTTATTTTCTAAACTGTAGGCCCCCTTGGATAGTAAAAAGTCCTTCCATACTGCACATGCAATATCAAAATCTAATCAGAAGTATGGCTAATTAAGTTTGTGAGCTTGTTTTTTATTTGTGAATTTATTGTATTTAAATTTACATTAAGAAGGTTCCACTTAATATATTTTTAACAAAAAAAATGGATCTAGAGAGAAAAAAAAATCTATAGAGAAAGAACGTATTTTGAGTTTTAATGCTAGGGCCCCATACCTGAAATTGTTTAGGGCCTCCGAATCACTAAGTTCGTCCCTGGTTAGCAGTTGTTATGATCACCAGTAATCTAGGCTTTGCAGATCGCTAAAAAAACATGGCTTATCACCCGGACTACAAATCTACAATTAAGTGAACTACAAACTACAAATCCCAGAAGTCATTGCTTCAATCACTTCTGCCACAGCTGAAGGTCATCTGGACACACACACACCTGGTAACTCATCATGGACTGATTATCTGGACTATTTAGTCACTTCTCAACACACACACACACACACACACATTGCTGAGTCTTTTTTTACGCAGTTCAAAGTGTTATTTCTTGTCTTGACCCGTGTTTTGTTTATTGTTTACCCTTTTTGCCGCCTGCACCATTCGCTTGCCTGCTTTTGACCACGCTCTTTGGATTGCTTATATGCTCCAGTTTGTACCTGTTGACCGTTGCCTGCCTGACCATTCTCTGTGTAATAAACTGCATGGATCCTCATCTCTGCTGTCCCATCATGGCAGTCCAAAACACTAGCAATTAGGGCACAACTGTCCCACATACATAAATATCACTTCAGTCTGTTGTCATTATTGTTTAAATGCCAGTCCAACAAATGTTTGTTAATTTACTCTGTTAATAAAACTGAAAAATGCATCAATTTTGCAATATATTACATAACATTAGACTTTTATTAGGTTAATCATTGCATAAAGGTAGTATAAATGAATCTACAAATTTTATGTTCCTCTGTGACGAATGGGTATACCTATACTGCACATTCAACAATGCCAATTACCTGAATTCATACCTGAACAAATTATCAATATAAAGGATTGTCAAATTGGATAACTGATTCCTCAATAAGAAAAAATAAACAAAAAATGAATAAGTAATTAGTAGATAAGGCTAAAGAAGCTTGATGTTCACATATCTCTAATCACCATGAAACCCCATGCAAAAGTTTGAATTATAAGGTTTATCCTCATATTCACACATCCTGTAATAGCATGTTGCTTGTCATTTTATATAGTTTACCACACTTTAAGACACACAACTAAAGAGACAATACAACAGAATAACAATAGGATGTCTACTGTGTCCAGACAGCATTTTAATCAACTGAATGTATCTGTTTTAAATACACACATTATTAATTTCTGCACAATCAACCTGATGTAGAAGGAACGCCAGTCAAGAGTGGAAGCAGATTTTCCAATTTTCATTTACATTACCAAAGCAAACTTGTTTTATTATATATATTTTGTCTTTTTGTCCATTTTTGTCAATGTTTTTTGTCCATTGTTTCAATTTTGACTTCAGTATAGGCATTACGGCTTTACGTAGGCATTAATCTCATGACATGCATACATTTTTGTATAACAGAAGATCAATAATATACAGATCAGACTGTAATGAAAAGATGATCAAATGAGAAAATAGTTACCTCACAAACTTCTCAAATGCATTCATCTGTATCGGATCCAATCAAATGTTTTGCATTAAGAATTAAAATACAATTTATTATATTAGCCGAATTACTGTATTGAAGAAATAATCACTTTGACCATCTATCTGTCACACAGTTTAACTCTTGCAGTTTCACCTGAAAAATTATCTAAAACTTGTTTTAAAATACCAACAAATACATGTAAAAATCTAAAGCCAGGATAGAGGGGCTGAGTGAATCTGGTGTGGACTCTGTGGATGAGGGTCATTGTGTCAGAAACACTGTAGAAGGACAGAATTCCTGCACTGTGATCCACATACACTCCTATTCTATTGCCGGGCACTACAGCGAGATCAGTCTTTATGTCATTGTGTCTGAATGAACAACTGGAGCGGGAGCAAGACAAACTCCAGGACTGATCATTACATCCAAATCTACACTGAACGTCACCCTCTCCCTTTCTGCTGATGCTTTTATATGACACTGAAATATCTACATTCCCACTCCACTCCACCTCCCAGTAGCAGCGTCCACAAACACTCTCTCTGCACAGCACCTGACGACACTGATCAAATCTGTCTAAATGATCAGGATAATTCTGTCTGCTAGATAAGGTCACTACTCTGCTCCTCTCAGACAGACAGAGACATTGATGAGCTGTGTTTGGATCCAGGGAGAAATGACAGAAATCTAATAGAAAAAAAAACAAAGTAAAACCTTTTGCTGGATATGCATTAACAAGGCACAAATACAATTAAATCGTTATCATTTATGAATCAGTTTAATTTTTTTTCACTTTAAATGTGTAAGTGGATTTAACATTATTACAGATTTAACACATTAAGCATATTTAGTCACTGGGGATTTTGATTCGTTTACAAATTTTATTTCAACACAATACAAAACTGATTTGACATAATTTACAGTAGCTGTTATCTACTGTATAATCACTGTTGTTATACCGTGTTTACTAGGATCAAACGTTGTGATTTATTTTGCTCAATTTTATATTCAACCTATAAAAATGAACAAACTGAAACAACATTTTTTGATTTGATGGTTAATTAGGTTAACTAGGCAAGTTAGGGTAATTAGGCAAGTTATTGTATATCGACAATTTCTTCTGCAGACAATCAAATAAAATTATAGCTTAAAGGGGTTTATAATTTTGTCCTTAAAAATGTTTTTAAAAAAATAAAATCTGCTTTAATTCTAGCCAAAATAAAACAAAAAAGACTTTATCCAGAGGAAAAAATATTATTAGACATACTTTGACAATTTCCATGCTCTGTTAAAAATCATTTGGGAAATATTTAAAAAAGAAAAAAAATTCAAAAGGGGACCCCCATAGCAAAATTTCTCTGGCCCAGATCTGGCCCACACCATGAGCATTTGCTTGGCCCACATGCTGCAGTGAATTACGGTACATGACTGGAACAAGTCTGGCTTCCGTACAAGAGGCGAACATGGACCATATCTGGGCCAAGTCTCAGCCAAGCTAATAACCCAAAACTGGGCCTGAACTGGGCCAGATATGTTGGTGTGTCACGACTGCAATGTTTTTAGTAAACTCTTGAAGCATTTCACTTCATGGCTGTGCTTTTTCGTGAAGCAAATATTTTTTTCTTTACTCAAAAGGTTTTTAAATGTATTTTAAAAGTGGGTCAAGATAAGCCAAACTTACGTGGCCCACATATACAATTTGACATTTTGGGCCAAATACTACATTTGATATCTGGCCCAAGTCTTAAGTGCCACCTGTAAGTCGGTGCCACCTCAGCCATGTTGGGCCATGTTTGGCCCACATGCTGCATGCCAGGGCCGGACAAATGCCTGCTGTGCCAGCTTTATGCCAAGTCTGGGCCAGAAATCTTTGCTACCTGGGGAGCTAATAATTCTGACTTCAACTGTATATATGTATGTTTCAATTTTCCGAACAACTTACATTGTAGGAAGTCATTCCTGCTCTCATATTCTGGAGTGGGAATGATCTGGATGCATGTCACTGTGAAAACAGCACATATATATAATTTCACAACACTTACATTGTTTCATTTTAGGATTTATCTTTAAAACTATTATTTTTTTAAAGGTTTGTTTTACCTTGACCAGATATGTTTTCAGTCTCCTCTCTGCAGAAATCCTCCAGTTTCTGTCTCAGTTGAGAGACAGATTTTCCTACATCATCATAAGAACTAACAGTAATGCTGGGGACATCAGGAGATGCAGGAGGAACAGGGAGAGATGCGAAACTCTACAAAGACAGTCAAACAACTAAAAGGAAAACTAAAGTATAACTTAATTTAAATAAAAAAACGTATGCTATTCAATGGTCAACAGATGCAATATGAGTAAAAACACTTGGTGATGTAAAGATTAGTGTCACCTGGATGAAACAGATGTGATCGTGTGTGTGTGAAAGCTGCTCCAGCTTAGCGTTCTTCCCTCTCAGATCATCAATCTCCTGCTGCAGTTGCTTCAAGAGTCCTTCAGCTCGACCGACTGTGATCTTTTCTTGATCTCTGATCATCTGTGTGACCTCAGAGCGTTTTCTCTCAATGGAGCGGATGAGTTCAGAAAAGACCCTCTCACTGTCCTTCACTGCTGTCTGTGCAGAGCGCTGTAAAACAGACATCACAATTAGCTCTGACAATGTTAAAAAATCTCTATTTCTCTACTTAAAGGGATAGTTCACCCAAAAATGAAATTTCAGTCATTATTTGCTTGTAATCTACTTGCTTAAAACCTATTTGACTTTCACTATTCCTGGTTAAACTCAAAATAAGTTTTTTTTTTTTTTTAATTAGGTGTTACTACTGACTTGCAAGGACAAAATCTAATATGGGTGATGTCAATGGTTACAAGTTTCCAGCTTTCATCACAATCTCTGATTTTGCACAATGTATTATCTTATATATTTAACAGAAGAAACTTACAAAGATTTGAATCACTTGAGGGTGAGTAAATTGTGAGTAAATTTTCATTTTTAGGTGAACTATCTCAGTTGCACATTTACTCTTTGAAATTGCATTATATAACCTTGAATTATCTTCCAGCAACTTTAACCAATCACTGCATTAAGAGTTATTTTTGTGTTTCTTTGTCAACAATCGTATATTTCTGTTGTTGGTGCCAGTTTCAGAAAGTTTGGTTGAACAAGGCTCTAATTGACATTATTAAGAGTGAAAGTCCTTATATGACCAGTTCTCGAGAGCAGTGGTTCTCAAAGTAGGGGTCGGGACCCCCGAAGGGGTTGCGGGACAATGAAGGGGGGTCACCTGGTGATTTCCAAAAATCTATTTATTGTTATTAAACCATAACCTACTAAAAAGCAAAAAATAGTCATTAACAGTTACTATATACTACTATATATAGTTACTATAGTAGCTGATAGTTACTAGTTCTATTGGAATGCGACCCCTGGGCTATTATTAAAGACACAGCAATAGCGTTAGATGCAGCAGATTGATTTTATAACAGCAAGTTAAACTTTCTGGCCCATTTACAGCACTCACATACTTAAAAAAAAAATAAACGAAGAATAGACTTGGGTCTATTGGTGTGTGTGTGCGACATTGCAAGCAGGGTTTCTGTATTTACAGTATAACCATCACAGAAGATATTAGGGGTCGCGAGTCACTGGCATTGTTATTTTGGGGGTCGCGGGCTGAAAAGTTTGGGAACCCCTGCTCAAGAGCACACCCATCAATGCACTTCACTCAAGATAATGAAGACATAAATCACTGAACAAGACTTTCTGGAGCACGGCTTCAAAGAAATGTGTTTTTGGTTGTATAGCACAGGTTGTAGTTGATTGCTGAGGAGAAATATTGTGCATCATTGACACATATGGAACAATATCAATGCCAAAAGTATTGAAATAAAAAGCTGTTCAAATAGCACAAACTGAAAAAAAATAATACATTGAATTAATAACTGCTTGCATTTTTAATGACTTGAATTGCCAGGGCTTGTATTTTTAGGGCCTGGAATTTAGCACAGCTGTTTATTTAAGCGTTGAATATTTCAACTAAAAATACTTCTAACACATTTTCATACTTAGAATTTCAATATTTCATATTCAATTTCCAGATTTCACTTACAAAATATTCATTACCGGTGAAAATTTCATTTTATTTCAGTTCAAAAATTCGCTTCCATAAATCCAGTGGACCAAATTCAGCTCTTAAAATTTGACATTACTTCTGGCAACTGCAAGACAAGCAATAGATTGTAGATTGACAATCTCCAGCTGCTTTTTATCACTAGCAGGTGGACCAATTTAAGATTTAAACAAGTGAAAAGGTGAGGAAAAAGTGAAAAGGTGAGGAAAGAGGCTAATAACGACACAAAAATAGCATTTAATATTGTCAATGTCGAATTTTAACAGTCAAATTTGATCCAATGATATTTATGGAAGCGAATTTTTTAACTGAAATAAAATGAACTGGAAATTGTCTTTTGAATATTATACATAAAATCTGAATAATTGAATCTAAATTATTCAATTTTTAAATATGAAAACGTGTTGGAAATATTTTTAGCTGAAATATTCAAAGCTTAAATAAACAGCTGTCTTAAATTCCAGGCCCTAAAAATACAAACCCTCACAATTCAACTCATTAAAATGCGAGCAGTTGTTATTTCAATGTATTTTTTTCAGCTTGTGCTATTCGATAAGCTTTTTATTTCAATACTTTTGGCATTGATTTTGTTTCGTAGACTCAGTTGATCCACCAACAGCATGAATACTTTTTTTATATTGTAAGTACCCCCCCCAACACATACATAAACCTATATAAATCAGTGCTACTTTTTTCTTGCATTTTACCTCATGAATCTTCACAGCTTCATTTAGCTCTTGAAGCTTCCTCTCTCTTTTCTGGATTTGCTGCTGGAATTTTCTCTGTATCTCTCCTAATTGTTTCTGTATGAGAATACATGGAAATAAAGTGAAACTGAAAGTATGTGGCATTTGTGTTTGTCTTTTCATTGAAAATGAAAGTGTTTCAGTCCATACCTGTTTCTCTGTCCTCTCTGCTGAAGTTGATACAGTTTCATGATCTTTGTGTTCATCCACCATACAGAGCATACAAATACACCTCTGGTCTGTACGGCAGTAAATTTCTAGGAGTTTATCATGTTTACGGCAGATCATCTCCTGAAGCCGTCCAGTAGCGTCTATTAGGTTGTGTCTTTTACCTTTGAAGAGATTCTCATGTTGTTCAAGATGATTTTGACAGTAAGAGTTCAGACACACCAGACAGGACTTGATGGCTTTGTGTTTTCTTCCAGTACAGCTGTCACACTCCACGTCTCCATCTCCAGCAGGAACAGCAGCAGTGTGATGTTTTGTCTTCTTCAGTTGCTCCACCACTTCAGCCAGCATGGTGTTTTTATTTAAAGCAGGTCTTGGACTGAAGGTCTGTCTGCACTGAGGGCAGCTATAAACTCTCTTCTCATCCTCGTGATGCCAGTAGTCGGTAATGCAGCTCATACAGTAACTGTGTCCACATGGAATGGCCACTGGATTCTTCAAGAGCTCCAAACACACTGGACAGCTGAACTGCTCCTGAGAAAACCTGGATTCAGCCATTTTACCGCAGACACAACACAAATAATCCGCACTTAAGTTTTGTTTTCCCAGAAGTGTAGATGTGATTTCCTGGTTCTGAGATTTATAGGCGTGAGCAAAACGGGAGTAACCATAGAAAATGCACTCAAACTTCCTCGAGGTCCACTAGAGGGGAGTATAGTGAAACACACAGTTGCACATGCTATTATAGCAAATATGGATAAAGTCTTTGTAAGAAGCTGTTTATATGCAAACATGATTTGCACTGATGAATACCTCTCTATGTACATTGTAGGGCTGTTTATGATAATAAAAATGTTCTCCAGCACTTATACAATGCATAAATCAGAGATTTCAAGTGAAATATTAGCAGTTAACATATTGTTGAGAATTCAATGATTTGTGTGATAAAGGATTGTTTACTTTTGTCCACATTGGCTGAAATCCTTAAGCATCCAAAAAAGTGCAGATAAATAGTCAACATGCGATTGGATAAAAAAAAGTAAATGTATTAAAGGGCTGCATGGTGGCGCAGTGGGTAGGATGATCGCCTCACAACAAGAAGGTCGCTAGTTTGAGCCTCGACTGAATCAGTTGGCATTTTTGTTCTTCTCCAGGTTTCCTCCTGGTGGTCCGGTTTTCCCCACAAGTCTAAAGACATGCTATAGGTGAATTGGGTAGGCTAAATTGTCCATAGTGTGTGTGAAAAAACGTGTATGGATGTTTCCCAGTGATGGGTTGCGGCTGGAAGGGCACCCGCTGAGCAAAACATATGCTGGATAAGTTGGCAGCTCATTCTGCTGTGGTGACCCCAGATTAATAAAGGGACTAAGCCGAAAAGAAAATAAATGAATGAATGAAATGTAATCAATTGTATTTTCTAAAGTTCTCTTTAAACGGATTATAATTGAGCATCTTTATGACATTTCATAATCAATTTGTTATAGACTTTGGAATGCAGGTAAATTAAATGGCTGAATGAACTGAGCAATATTCATATTAATGATAAACTTAAACATATTTTCAACACATGAAAGTTTCTTTTGAAACTTTTACAATGTGTGTGTGTGTGTGTGTGTGTGTGTGTGTGTGTGTGTGTGTGTGTGTGTGTGTGTGTATGTGTGTGTGTGTAGAAACTCACATTCACAGCGGATGCCCTTGATGCCCTTCCAGCTGCAACCCATCTCTGGGAAACATCCATACACACTCTTTCACACTCATACGCTACAGACAATTCAACCTATCCAACCTGTAGCGCATGTCTTTGGACTGTGGGGGAAACCAGAGCACCTGGAGGAAACCCACGCAAACGCAGGGAGAGCATGCAAACTCCACACAGAAACACCAACTGACCCAGCCAAGGCTCGAACTAGCGACCTTCTTGCTGTGAGGCGACAGCACTGCGCCACTGCATCACCCACTAATGATAATACAAATTTTATTTACAAATCTATTTTTAAATACGGTAAAATGGACTAGTAGTTCTTTTCTTTCTGTACAATGTACAGTTGAAGTCAGAATTATTAGCCCCCCTTTGATTTTGTTTTTATATTCTTTTTTTTAATATATTTCTTAAATGATGTTTAAAAGAGCAAGGGAATTTTTACTGTATGTCTGATATTTTTTTTTCTTCTGGAGAAAGTCTTTTTTGTTTTATTTCAGGTAGAATAAAAGCAGTTTTTAATTTTTTCTAAAACCATTTTAAGGTCAAAATTATTAGCCCCTAGAACAAACCATGGTTATACAATAATTACCATAACCTGCATAGTTAACCTAATTAACCTAGTTAAGCCTTTAAATTTCTCTTTAAGCTGTATAGAAGTGTCTTGAAAAATATCTAGTCAAATATTCTTTACTGTCATCATGACAAAGATAAAATAAATCAGTGATTAGAAATTAGTTATTAAAACTTATATTTAGAAATCTATTGAAAAAAATCTTTCTCCGTTAAAAAGAAATGGGGGGGGGGGGGGATAAACGGGGCTAATAATTTAGGGGGCTAATAATTCTGACTTCAACTGTACATGAACCATTGAAATTGCATATCCCGGTACAGTAGGCGGCGGTATACACATAAACAATTACACCATTTTTTTGTAAGGCTTGATAGGAGACTTGCAGTAACTCCGCTAGTGCAATAGATGGCAGTAAACTGTGTTCGACTGCAGTATTAAAGCAGCGAACAACGAATTCGAGTGAAGAAACATGGCACCGTAGAGCTCGATGTTTCTGCTAAAGTTTGAACAAACCCCCTTCTGCTGATTCTTTTTCTAAACTGTAGGATATATTTTACAAGCCTAATTAATAGTTAGTTTCCATGCAATATGTTTGTTGCGAAAAGCATCGCAGCGGATCATAAAGATCTGATTCACGATGTCTCCTACGACTTCCATGGACGGAGGATGGCGACCTGCTCCAGTGATCAGAGCGTCAAGGCAAGAAAACTAAAGTCGAATTCAGATTTTTTGCTTGTTCATTGTCCATAAACCCAATAAGCTGCCAATATAGACTCTATTCAAACAACCATAGTTTTTGAGAGACAACAATAGTCTTCTTCCAAGTTAAGTTACAGTTTCTGCAATAACGACATAATAACGTTGTTTACGGATTGTGAATATGTTTAAAGGTGTTTGTCTCTCTGTAAGCAGACTTATAAGCCATTTTCTACTTGTCGTTAATGCACACAGACATTTAAAGCTGATGTACAGCGGTTCTTTATCACATGTTTAAAACTGTCCCTCATTATAATTGTTTTTATTATTATACTGTTGTAGGTCTGGGATAAAGGTGATGATGGAGAATGGCACTGCACTGCTAGTTGGAAGGTATGAGCTGTTGTTTTGTATGTGCTTTAAAAGTATGAATTTTAGGTTTTAATATAGATTTGTTTGTCATATTTTGCAAAGATGCATATAACTCAAGCAAAAAGTGAAATCTAACTATTTGACCTATACGTTGACAGGTTGGTGTAAAAATAATCAGAAATTTCATACCTATATTTATTTACCCCTTTTAGAGTACTAATTGAAATGCTCATTATGATAAAAACTGGGCTTTCTGAACTTTTATGGTTAAAAAACATGCAATCAGTGCTTTTTCAAAGGTTTGAAATATACTTGCAGTTGTGGCTGGATTGAAACACTTTTTACCTTCAGCACATAAATAGTTGACTATAAGTGATAAACAAAACATAATTTGATTTTAACCATATTTTATTATTATCTGTTTTGAACTTTTCTTTTCAATGGGCTAAAGTAAAAAAAAAAACACTGTTGAAATAAATAAATAAAAACGTTAACTATTTCTCTTTTATGCTTTTTCCCTAATAAACACTATAAAAGCATTAGAGATGTATAAAATATGTAATATATCGACATCATCAAATTAATAAAATACACAGCAGAGCAGATGAGAAGTAAAAGACAGGAAAATTAATAAAAACAGAAAATATCTCTAAATAATTAAAATAGTTAGAATAAAACCTGTCGATTATATAGTTGATTACCCATTTCTAATGTTGTATAAATGTTCTGCAGCCAGTTTAGATGTAATTCCGTCCTCTGAGTATTTAGCAAAGTTTTTATGAGTCGTTGAGATAAAGGAATTAATAATTTAATATTTCTCTTGCGGCTGTTTGCATAAAATAACAGTTTAGAAAACGAAAGCAAAACCAATTTCCGGACATTTTAGTAGATCTAGAAATCCCGGCCGGTCGCAAAAAGGTACATGTCTCTGTTGGTCTGCAGAGCACATGAGACTACTTTTCAACTACTTAATCATTCGTGAATTTTTGTTTATATTATAAAATATACAAAATAAATGTGTCACTAAATATTAGGGTTGGGCATCTAAGCTATAATGCCGATCCGATACGCATCTCGATACAAAGAATACGATCTGATATATTAGCGATACATTTGTGACATTGCGATGCAACACGATACGATTTACACCCATATCACGATACAATGCGATAATTCAGCACTAACTAATTAGTTCAAGTTTATGAGATGATGTGAAAGAGGATGCTGTGCCATTGAATGAGTTTGATTGATTATTTATTAACCAAGCAAAACCAAGACTTTTTTTTACAAACTGGCTTTTCTCTCAGAGCCAGAGTGTCAGTTTACAGTAGAGGGCCATTTTAGAACCTATAGCAAATATTATTTAAGTATTTTCAAGATAAACAGAATGTATAAGTGCAATATATATTAAAATATTTATATTTGCACTCTTTCAACATAAAGGTTGAGCATTGCACAACAAGAATTGTGATTTAACTTTTCAACTATGAAAACAAGTTTTACAAAGATATATTTTGCCACTGATTATTCAAAACTTAAGGTTGTGAACTAGCAGTGTTATGCTGCTTTGAAACATCACTTGCACTGTAAACAACAGGCTAATAAAAATATAACAAACCAGCAATCTTCTTGCTGTGAGGTGGTCAAACTACCCACTGTGCCACCGTGACACCCATTATTTTTATCATTATTATTATTAATATTATTATTATTATTATAATTAAATAAAAATTAACAGAAGGAGGTGTTCAAAACCTTCGTTCTCCGTGACACTAGGCTGAATATCTTTGCAGATGAACAGGGCCGGCACGTCCATAGAGGCGACCTAGGCGGCCGCCTAGGGCGGCAGTATAGAGAGGGCGGCGTCCGCAACACCCCCCCCCTTACCACCCGCATCCTCAGTTATGTCCGCGACACCTCCATCAGCGCCCGCTTGTCCTCAGTTATATCCGCGCATAGGGTGGCAGAATAGAGGTCCGCGACACCCGCGTCCTCAGTTATATCCGCGTATAGGGCGGAAGAATAGAGATCCGCGACACCCGCGCGTCCTCAGTTATATCCGCGCATAGGGCGGCAGAATAGAGGTCCACTGGAAGATGCTTTCACAACAACACCGAGGCGCCGCTTCAAGTGAGATTTCAGATTAGTCGTACTGCCCGCGTATTTTATAGATGCGCGGCACATTTTGCAAATTGCATCTGTCCTGTCATGTCGTCCATCCTTAAATCCATAATGTTGCCATACTTTAGATTTAAAACTCAGTGGGGAATAAAATGTTTGTTTTGCTTCTCGCGCTTTCTGAGGGCGCACCACTAGCTTCATCCGCACACCTGATACAGTTGTAGTGTAAGTGCACACATCCGCAAATCCGTTATCCGTTAAATTATGCGCCAAAAACAGGTTGACAACACTTGTTAATAAATAAAAAATACATTCTATATTAAAAATATAAGCTGTATCTTGGAAAAACCGATACATCTCGCAAAAACCGATGCATCTCGATTTGCTTCCAAAATTTCATTCATCCTCTGCTGCTCTACCGATGCACTCGCATCGTGCACGCGCATGACCGCGTATCGATACATATCGATTAATCTTCCCATCCCTACTAAATATACTTGGCCGACTGATAATATACCTGGGCAGCCCGCCCAAGTAAAACCTATGTGTGGAAAGCACTGTGTAATAATCAATGACTTTATCATATATGGCTCTTCGCCTAATAAATGGATAAAATACATCGAAAAATACATAATAGTTTTGAAGTGTATTATATTTTAGATTAATAAACACTTGCATACCAGTGCGTAAATCCTAGTGTGAAGGACAGTGGCAATAATTGATGGTAGATTTTACGTTAACATATATATTTATAATTTTGTCTATTATTGTGATTTCTGTCTGTCTGTAGACTCATAGTGGGTCTGTGTGGAGGGTGACGTGGGCACATCCCGAGTTTGGTCAAGTGTTGGCATCTTGTTCCTTTGACCGCACTGCAGCTGTGTGGGAGGAGATAGTTGGAGAATCCAACGACAAACAACGGGGGCAAAGTCATTGGGTTTGTAAAACTGTTTTCCAGAATGTTTCAGTGCTGTCAAGTCTATAACAGTACCGTGAAAGTGTTTTTTTCAACAATTAAAGTGTAACCAAACTTTTATACAACATTGGGCGTGCAACAACTGTATTCATACTGAACTCTTCAGGTATGGTGCACATGTACAGAATGCAGTCCTTGTTTTTCAAGGTTTCAAATAAAAGTATTATGCTAAGCTAAGCTAAATAGCAGAACCCCCCAGAACAAAAAAACGGCTGAATGGATAAAAATGATCAAAAATAAAAGTAAAATGTTTAACTCTAGGAGACTTACTAAACGAGCATCCACCCCACCCCGACAAAAAAATGTAGTGTTCCTTTAAGTGTAGAACAGGGGCCTGTTTCAGTAAGGAGGTTCAACCAACTCTGAGTTTAAACTTGAACTCTGAGTTGATTTACAGAGAGAATAAAAACTCAGAGTTTTCAGTTTCCGAATAGGCAAGGCAAGGTAACAGCTCGCTGGGGTACTCGCAGACATTTTCAACTTGTCGTTTAACCTAGCAGCTGTGCCAACATGCTTTAAAACCCCTACTTTGTTTTTTATTTTTTATTTATTTAAAAAGCGCATTAAAGCTGAGATACAACCAGAGACCACAATACAACACAATCACCAGTGCCTTTAATAGTTTATTTTACAGACTTATAATATGCTGTAGTTCTATTGGAGTTTTCATTCCAAAATGGCCGCCGTCTATGACCGCCATCTAGTGGCTGTTTTTCAAATTGCACTAGAGTGTCGCCACTTGGTGATTCTATGCTCTTTGCCAACTCAGAGTTAAGCCTGCACACCGCGACTATAAAAAGGCATTATCAATGGAGCGCAGATATTACGAGTGACTATGGCAACATCTGAAAAAAAGGGATCAGCATTTCTTTCTCCATCTGAACTTGATATGCTCATGCAAAGTTATAGCAAATATGAGCATATATTTAAAAAAGCAACACCACTACATCAGTGAAACAGAGACAGTTAGCGTGGGAAAACAGCTCCTCTAATTAATGTTAAGTTAGGGTTCATTTAAAGTATTTAAATATTTAAGTATAATAAAATGTAATGTGTGATGTTTATAAAATTTTTACACACGTTCCCACTTTTATACACGTTGATCAGTTTTAATAGATTTAATAGTGCACTTTTGTGTCTGCCTTTTTTATTGATCAAGTGGTGGAGGTTGATATGACATTTACAGTGTATCAGAACTAAACAGTAGTTTTAGAAAGAAAAATAATCCCATTAATCTAGTAACAGTACATGTCCCTATTGAAGGTCAGTGAATTTAAGCTAATATTTAATAAAAAAAGGACAAGTGACCTTGACCTTCTCGTACATGACCTTGTTCATTGTGTGACTGAAATGTAGGCAATAGCTATGTTTCCATCCAAATATATATGAATTAAATTTATGTACAAAACTGCAATATTGCATAAAAGATGTGCAGCGTTTCCATCCAATGAGTCAAGGAGAACAAAATCGTCACTTCCTGATTTAGGTGCCAAATATCAACAGTAAAACTGAATTTACTGCGGTAGAAGAAGCTGCGTCAATCTTTTCCTTATTTAATAAATGTACTTGCGCCTCAGAAGACAATACTGACACACAATGAACACGTGGTGGCGTTTGAACCCTTGAGACACGGTGAGCAGACACTCTTGACATGCTCCAGACGCTCTGAAGGTCTTTAATAATATAAATAACTTAAATACTGAAACGGTTAAGGCGTTTTAGAATGACCAAAACAACATTTAAGATGTGTTGCAGTGTCCTCAGCCTGCTGTTTTGTCCATTTACACACATTTTCATCATCGTATGATCTCCTATAACAAACATTTTTTATAATGCACATACTGGAATTTGTTCAGTAAAAGTGTTTCCATCGTATTTTAGGCTCATTTTTTCTATCGAATAAACGTTTATCATACTTAGTTATGCACCTGTTTTTAATGTGTATTTTTAAAAGTTATGTGCATTATGACGTTTCCATCAATCGTTTTTATGCACATCTACAAAATGAGCATTAAAATAGGTGGGTGGAAACGTAAGGCTAAGGCGAGAAATACAGCT